CTGTACCTCATGCTCACAATCTACTTTCCTTTCTCGGGTATACAATGCTAAGAAAATTCTAAAGAAGTTGAAATCCCAAGGGATTTTTCCAAACTCAGTATTTAAACAAACTTTGTCCAATCCTCAATTTCTGCCTGCGTCAAGTTCATTCGGCTGTTTACTATGCTGAACAACTTTTCATATTACTTCTTTGTATCGTTTTAGCCACAGTATAACATGATCCCTTTGCTAAGTTTAATCTGTTCTCTCTTGTATTCTCAATTTGTACATTTATTCTCATCAATTTTACACTTCTAACGTTCAACATTATCAAAAGCTATTCGCATTAAGGGTGAATTTTTCTAACTTGTAATCACCATGGCTGAATGTAAGGCCAATGTTTCTGCTTTCAAAAGCACTACATTTGCTTGTCGTAGCAGCACCTCTGATGAAGTGGAGAATGAATCCAACAGTATGAAGACCTGGAACTGAATTCATGGTGAGATGTTACATAAAACACTCGGAACCAGTATCTAGCTCGCGCATTCATTTTGCATGAGTTGAGAAATTCTGATTGTTTGATTAAGCTTATCCAGTCGTTCTTTACTGATATTGTATCTTAGTGTCTGAAAACGGGGTTAAAATCAGATTAAGATTGAGGCGAAAAACGACAATCTACACCAGTGAATTAATAAGACCTGAAAATTGCTATGATTTATATTATCATTAAGCATGAAATTAAGTGAATTTATAACTAATAATCTCAGGCCATTGATCTTGTCAATTGGCTTTGGCCTTATACAGAGGCATGGCAACGGGTATGCTGTCTTGACAGGTATTTAGATAAGATCTTCAACTAAATTACCTGAATTATACTTTATTGACTTGAATGCATAAATGATTAAAGATTTATTTTCCCTATATCAAATTGATCGAGCATAAATTATTCTGACTTCTTACTTTTATAATTTTTGCGGCCTCAACTATTTTATGAGTCCTATTTTACTTAATCTTTAGCAACTTCTTCGTTCGATTCTGTCTGTAGGAGACAAATCAAAAGATTAATTGATTCTCTTTCCTCTAGGGCGTTTATAACTCTTCCTTGGTGTGATGAATTTTATTTGGACTTGCGCCATTTAGGGCGTAACAATCCTCGAACCAGAATCATTTGTCTCGCCTCTGATAAGATGGAGCTCTAGTACATTTATTTTTTATATATTATGAACAATGCAGTCTTTACATTTAGCGTTTACTCTGTCCACTTAAGGAACAGCCTATCATCATTATTGTATAAACTTTACAGTTCCAACATATTTTCGATATAAAGGGATTTGATTTATTTTGAGCATATATGCCTCTTACATATGTTCCTATGAGCTTTAGAACATGCGTTGCTTGCTAATATCCAGGTTATGACAGGGATACTATGGGGATTATACATCCATAGTACACGTCCCAAACACCACAAGACTCACATGGAAAGCGATGTACGCATAGAGGTAATAGTGAAGATGAAGGTGTGTCCCGAAGTTTTATTGAAGGCATGCCCCTGGTTCTAAATATGCTATTGCTTCATTCAATTTGTTTTTAGGCTTGATAACAAACCTTGTTTGAAGGTCTGAGCAGTCTCTTAAGCTTTTTGATAAAATTCTTTATTTATATATGTTAGTTTGTTTTAATTTAGCATGGGAAAAGCGTTTTTTATTCGGGTTCTTGCCATTTTTCATCATGCTGTCGATAGATTGTTGCATATCCTAAGAGTAGGATTTAGAGTCACTTTTATCAAGAAGTATTCCAAAATAATCCACGTCAGGTGATTTGTATAGAGCACAAATTCTGAATGATTCCAAGGCTTTTCACATAGCGTGCTTCCTTTGTTACTTCAATTTTCCCTTGGCCGCTTTCGTAATTTGCAAACCCTTTATTAGCTAAGTGATCAACCTCAATTCTCGCATTTATGCGCCACATCTCGACCATACGATTTGAAATAGGTTTCATTTCACACATCTGGCTATTCAGCACAAGGTCATCTTGTTTAAAAAGTAAAATGATCTTAGAAACCGTTTTTCTTTACATTGGTTTTTAATGTGCTGTAAAGCGGAAATTTTTTTGCTTTTGTAGAAATTTCGTTTTAGTTTTGTACAGTGCATAAGTATGCTCTTGATAGGATTATCACAAGATATTTTGGAATTCCTTCGCAGAAATATGGAAAAGATCAAAGCTTTATTAAGTGCGGGATATTTTAATGGTATTTCATTCAAATAAATTATTAACATAGTTGGAGCTTCTTTTAAAGGATGCGTCAAGCCATCTTTTCTGACTATGGCTTCAATGAAAATTATTATTATTATCATCTCAAGTTTTGCCTTTACTATGCATCTATCCCTCCATCAAACCCTCTCTTTCTCAGTTTCATCTTATATCCTATTATTCCTTACAATTGTACAAATGTATAATCTTGTCCCTTTGAAGTCTTATAATCAGCCTCTAAATATTACCCTTAGTGACGATTCTGCTTTAATCCTCTGCGAAATGTCCTTATATGTAGCTACTCTGTTTATTTTAATTTCTCTCAATAAAAAATATTTAGAGGCAAAATCTGTATACTTAGCTTCTCTGCCAATTGGCCTTTATTCTTTGCATTTGGATAAAATTCCTTTATTTGCCTTTTTACTATAGATGTCTGAAATTTTGTATTATATATCTGAAAATGGATTTTCTTCTTCTATTCGAGTAAAGTATTCAGAATTGTTACATATCCCACCACTCTTCAAAGGTTTGATTATTTATTTTCACAATTAACTGATTTCTTTTAAATTATTAATGCCTACTATTTTGTAGGGATCTGGGAGGCAATGCTGATTAGCACTGTATTTGGCCTAACAACTATCTGCTCTAAGTAGATACGGGCAATTTTATCACATTGCCTTATAATTGGTCACTCTGCCACCAGCCTTTATATGAATTTAGAGGGATTTTAACAAATGAAAGCGGGAATGATATTTTTTTTACTACTTCTACCCCTGTCTGTCAAAGCTTCTGCTTCTTCACAATCAGCTGCTGGCTAGACCATATAACTAGCTGCCATACTATACTACTATAATAATAGCATATTACACAATAGATAAACCTTACGTGGTGTATAAGCAGAAACCCACTCGCATCCATCTCTTTTGCCAATATTTTTATATACTCTTTCAAACTTATGTCTTGTTTTTGTACCGGTAATTTTCCCCTTTGCTCAATTCAGATGCAGCTTCATTAACTTCGCGTGACAGTGCTGGTGGCCCTGGAGGAAAAAGCAGTGTTGGCCCTGTTCCACCGAAGGCTGTCACCTTCCGCAAGTTCCACGTTAGCCAGCTTGAGAACGTTAGTGTTTTGTTTGCTGATATCGTGGGGTTTACCAAAATGAGCTCCAATAAATCAGCCTCCCATCTTGTATATTTGCTCAACGACTTATTTGGCAGGTGAGAGCTTGTCTGGAGGCTTTATCTGGATTAAATTTTATGTTTATGATAGGTGGAGACAACAATGATGAATTGATCTCTAGTATCTCTTACATTTATTTATTCTGTTTACCAGAAGGCCTTATCCGTGAAAAAACTTTTGTAAAAGATGATAATATTTTTATTCACTTGGTTGGCTTGACTTTAAATTCACATCTTCTCTATAAATAATGGTAGCTTATGGGCATAGAAGAGTAGTAGCATTACAGCGTGACTCCCACAACTAGGTTTCCCATCCAATTGCAGGTACTGGTCAGACCTGGGCAGGCTCAAAGCTGCAGCCCAACATGGATGAGAACGATTTTTAGGAGGGGAAGGCTAGATGAAATTAATTGGCATATGCTGGCATTCTTATTTCATTTTTGGAAATTCAATTATCAGTACTTGAATCTCCTTAATTGGTCTAAGGCGATTCGATGTATTAATTATTTTTATGTTTACTTATTTCCTTTTATTCGCATTTCTATTCACTCCTAAGGTATAGCCATATATTTCGCCCTTCCAAAGGCGTGGATGATTGAGAAGAACAAAGATTTATACAATAAACCAGGTTTTCGGGTGTTTATTTGTTTACACCCAATATGTACCATCTTGAATGTAGAAGTTTGGTACGATTTTCATTAACTTTTACTATCCTTAACTATAGAAATAATATCTCATGGTATTAATTCGTGCCTAATTTTCTCCATTTTCTATGTCATATTCATTGGCAAGACTTTCAGAGAGGATAATTTGTGAATTATGGACCTACGAATAGATCAGGATATATCCTTAATATACCCTTAGGCTAACTTAAAATTGTGCACACAGCTGAAAGCCTAACTTTCTCATTATCCTTATTTTAAAGTGGATTGGTTTAATTACAGAGGAATCATGTAATGAGCTTCAATTT